CGAAAAGGGTTTTCCAAATTATTTGATTTGCGCGTTTTGGAGCATGCGTTGCTCGCGGGAAGGTCGAGAACGAGGTGTTACTTCTTTTGCCCACAATAATTCTGATCAGACGACAAATTCGTTGAGTGTTTTTTAAGAAGCCACATGAGCCCTCACATGACACGCGGCGAAATCGCTGGTAACCTGGCCCATTGGCCAATACGCAAAGGCACCCATCGTGAACAGAACGAGTAAAACGGCCTACGCCACCCCACCTAAAACCACTCGTGCTACTCGATTATCCATTTTGCCCGTTGTGAACCGCTCCTATTCGTCGTAGTCCATATTTGCGAGTCGCGGATTTGGAGCATAGAGCATACCCACTGTACACGACTTCGTCATATTCGGGCAGATTCGTCAATGCCGTGGCAAAAACAACGAGGCCTCCTAATACAGTAACTCCATTTCTTTCAGCAAGATCTTTTGGTTTTCGCTGCGCAGAGCATTTGTCGTGTCAAAGGCTGGATACAAGGCCGAGGCAAACATGCTCTCTTTGGTAAAAAAGGTGAACCTCGCGACATCTACATTGCCCGTAACATTTTTCTGAGCATGTACAGAGACGTAAAAAGCACGTCTTAGGGCAAAATGAACTAGCTGGACACGCCCTAAGTCTTCGTATGACGGTTAGATGGAAGTTCAAAGCCAACTCTGATTTTCAGACGGTCGAAAATCCTAGCAGAGTCGCTGGTTTGGACGCTTAGCGGTTTTGCTCGTTTGTAACCCGCAACCGCTAATTAGTCGAAGTGCTGCAAGTCTCATCATCTCATGCAAACAAACTATGCAAATACATTTCTCTGATTTTTTAAGACATTCGTTCTAGAATTCTCTGAAAAATCAGACAAATTTTTCCTACTTCTCTGATTGTGAAAAGTGCATCAGACAAAATGCTCAAACCTTGTCTGATTCCTCAGACATGTTTTTTTCCAAAAGAGAACCCTGATAAAGAGGTGGTCGTCTCATAAAAGGAGATACCCACTTCTCCTTCCGCTTCCCGTCATAACAAGGCTCGAGCTTTTTCCGAGGCTACTCTTGCTACGACAATCGACGCTCCCAGGGTTATTCCTGTGGCAATGGCTTTGCCCAGCTCCAGTTCGGTTCCCCGATAGGAAGCAGTTCAAGGATTTGAGGATATTCCTATTCCTCGCGACACTTTTATGTCGGACACCTTGGATTTTCTTGGTGCTTTTAACGATGATTTTCTCAAGAAACAAGCGACTCCTGCTCAGTTTAACATTTTTAAGAATCAGGCTGTTTCCGACTTTAAGAAGTTCTTTCTCAAGTACCGGACCCTGATGCAGCAGCACGCCTTCATGGTGGATCAGAAGAAAAACGGCATCATTCCGCATTCTATTCGGATCAAGCCGTTCACTTTTGTCTGCAATACCGAAGATCTTCGCCTCGAAGCCGATAAGGACCTCGAAGCCGCTAGATTGAAGTGTTGTCAGAATGCTCACAAAATTTTGATCGCGATGAAGAAGAAGGCTGATGACCAAGCTTATGGCGAGGCTACTGCTGTCCTTCAGTCGCTACAGAACAACCTCGACCATTTTATCAATTTTAACAAGAAGTCGGACCTTGGAATCAAGCATCCTAAGCTTTTCGACAACTTGGATTTTTTCAAGAGTCGCGTGATTTTGGAGTACCTGAACTCGATTTCAATGTTCTACTTGGACACTAATATGACTGAAACATTGCTGAAGCAGAAAAAGGAGGAACTTGACGCAACGAAGGCAGCCGCGATTGCTGAAGCTGAAACCCTTCCGCCAGGAAGTGGCGAAGATTTTGCACCAAAGTTCTAAACCGGCCACTGCTAGCAACGACAAGAGCCAGCGAGGTGCCAAGAAGAAGAATACTCCGAAGAGCAAGAATGGGGTTTCTATCAAGAAGAGCCCTGTTGCTGATCTCAAGTCCAAGAGGACTGGCACGCGTAATGGCAAGAAGCCGAAGCCGACGGAAAAAAAGAAGTAGATTTCTCCTGATAAGCATGCTGAGAAGACAATGGGAAAGTCATTTGCGAAGACTTCGCAGCGCACCCCTGGCAATCGTGGCAGTCATGCCGCAAAAAAACGGGGGAGGTGGAGATCGCGGAAAAACTGCTCGACGCTAGTTGATGATGTGCATGCGTACGCATTGATACTCTTCGGGCGACAGACGGAGTATCAGCTGCAGTGTCGAGTCACCAACCGCGGGATCCACAACTACAGTAACCATGTCTTCTCACGTCGCGAGCTGAATCTGCTTAGTTTAGGACTGAAGTATATACCCGTACCTGTCATCCGCATCATCCAGAGCTTAACGTCTTTCTTTCGCAGTGTTCGTACGATGTATGTGTTTAATGGAACTGACTCTTTTTATGATCTTTCAGGGTAGAAGTTACCCAAATGAACCAACTGGAATCCGCCGCTAGCCTCTTCGGAAATCGAGACGGCTTTGGCAATTTTTAAGGATGCAGCTTTAAAACAAGTCGCTGAACAAGATTTTTCGACACTCACCCGGAAATCGACGAATGTCATATCTACGCTTCGTCGTCTCGCAAGGAATCCAGATCTCATTTTTAAACCGGCAGACAAGAACCTCGGACTGACTGTTATGAGCAAGGAGTTTTATCAAGCTAAATGCTTCGAACACCTTCATAACGGCCAAGTCTATAAGGAGTTTTCTTCTGTCCTGGTTGAAAATATTCTTAGAGATCTACATGGGATTCGCGAGGATTTTCACCCGCTTCTACCAGCCAGAACCAGGGATTCTTTCTTCACGAAGCCGACTAATGGATGGAGGGTTCCTGCCTTCTACGTGCTCTTGAAGATTCATAAAAAAGTCCCTGCTGGCCGGCCGATCGCAGCCTCGCACTCCTGGATCACCACTAACGTCTCTCGTTGGCTTGACTCAGTCCTCAGGCCTATTGTTCTGAAGCAGTCTACATCTGTTAAAGACTCCCAGAGTCTTATTCTTCAACTGGAGCGGCGTGTTTTTTCCAAAAAACTTCTCCTAGCATTGTATGACGTGGAGTCACTCTACCCTTCAATTCCACTCTGGGATGGCATTGACGTAGTCGCTTACTTTCTTAATAAAGAACGACATCCTTTGGCTCCACTCATTATTCGTCTACTTTGATGGGTTATGTTCAACAGCTATGTCTCGTTTAACGGCCGGTTTTTCCGACAAATTCACGGAACGGCCATGAAGACGTCCGTTGCAGTTTGTTTCGCAGTCCTGTTCCTGAGCTTTCTGGACCTTCAACTGCATGCTTCGCCCAAATTCCCTCCCGCTCTTCACCTTCGTTTCATTGATGACGGTTTGATTTTGTGGGAAGGAACAAGGGATGAATTCAACTACATAAAGCAACGTTTCGACACCCTTCATCCTTCAATCCGGCTGACCTGGGTGATTTCAGAAACTTCTATGGATTTTCTAGATCTTACGGTGTTTAAAGGAAAAAGGTTTCAAGATTTTGGCATTTTGGACTTGAAGCTGTTTCAGAAGCCGATGAATCGGTACCTTTACCTTCCGTTTAAGTCCTATCATACTCGGTCTACGAAGCTGGGTTTTATCTGGAGTGAGCTACAAAGATTTCTTTTGCTCTCGTCTTCACGAGCTGACTTCGTCAATTCCCGCGCACTTTTCTTTGCTCGGCTTAGAGCGCGTGGGTACCCGGAAAAGTTTATACTGCCGGTGTTTAAGTCGGTTTCTTTTGCTAACCGTGGGGAACTTCTTCAACGCGCCTCTTCATTTCAATCTTCTGCGAACCGTGACCCCCTGGTGCTGAAACTTCTTCTCAACCCTCTGGTTGACCGTTCGCGCTTGGGGAACATTTTTAGTCGACTCAAAAGTCATCTCGTTACAATGTCACGCGGAACTTTCGCTTCAAGAAGAACCATTCTCGCTTGGAGGCTGCCGAAGAGAGCTGGAAATTTTCTTATTTTTGCTCATAAGTGTTAGACTACAGTATATTTGTACTGTTTGTTTTATCTCTCTTTCCCTTGCCATCGTCGAGACCCCGCAGAGGAATGCCTCGCGAAGAGTCCTCGAGGTGGTATTTATAGGCTAGCTAGTCTGCTTATTGCTTTGTGGTCTGAAGAAGGCTCTCGAGCCGAAACCGGTTACCATCAAAATCTTCACAAAGGTTTTTAAGCAAGCTCTACGCTCGTTTTACTTAAGCGTTTCTAAAGTTGCTGCCACGTAAAGACCTATGGCACCCAAGTGGTGTTCAAACGGACTGCCGGCAGTGGTTCGTGCGACAGCATCAGCAGCGGCAGCGGCAGTGGCGGCGGTAGCACCGCTAGCTGTCCTAACGCTAGCATGAGCAGCACACTGCTTCCATCTCTACAGTGTCTCAAGATCAAAGATCTTTCTTTCGAGTCCTTTGGCCCGCCCTTTGGCCACCTGCCCTCTCTAACGAAACTGAGCTTCTTGACATGAGCTTTCTTGAAACGCTTCCGGATTCCATGTCCCAACTCTCGCAGCTGCAAAGGCTACGGATTTCGCACGCCTGGGAGCTGAAAGTACTGCCAGAGACCCAGAGAGGTCTGCCAGGGCTTCGTTCTCTTGAGCTGGTTGGCCTCATGAATTTGCGTGAGCTGCCTGATTCTTTCGGGCAGCTGAAAATGCTCGAAAAGCTCTAAATAATTGATTGCTTCAGGCTGATGCGACTTTCGGATTCGTTTTCGAATCTGCCCCAGCTGCAATCGTGCACTCTCGTCAAACTTGGCCTTCCGTTCATCCCAGCGATTTCTGCAAGCTGTCTTCTCTGCAGGAATTGGTGCTTCTAGGGCTGAAAAATCTGTAGAGATTGGCGGATTCTTTCACTCAACTGCCTCGCCTGCGAGTGCTAGAGGTGAAGGCACGCAATCGGCTTGCTCATTTGCCGTCCTCCCTCGGTGAAATGGCGGCGCTGTGCCGATGCGACATCCGTGAATGCAGCTTGCTTTCACGGCGAGACCCGCGGGTGATTCTAGGACAGCGGGGCGTGGTGAATGGTGAGGAGGGAGGGAGAGAGAGGGAGGAAGAGGGGGAGGGGGAGGGGGAGGAAGAGGGGGAGGAAGCGGGAGAGGGGGAGGGGGAGGGGGAGGAAGAGGGGGAGGAAAGAGAGGAGGGGGCAGAAGAGGAAGATGAGGAGGACGAGGATTAGAAGGAGGACGAGGAGGAGGATGATGACATTGAGCACGCGTATGGCATGGAGAGTGACGATGACAGGGATGACGAGCGACGCTGGGCGGTGGAGAGCGAGGATGAGGAAGACTGAGATGATGGTGACTTGTGATGGGGAATGAAGAGTAAGAGGACGCTGAGCATGAGTATGGCATGGAGAGCGAAGACGACAGGGACGATGAGCGAGGATGAGGAAGACTGAGATGGTTGAATTGGTGAGGGAGAGGAAGAGGAGGGTGTGGGAGAGGCGGAGGAGGGGTAGAGGCGGAGGAGGGGGAGGAAGATGGAGAGATGAAGATGAAGGAGAGGGGGATTTGGAGGTGGGGGAGGAAGTTGGAGAGATGAAGATGAAGGAGAGGGGATTTGGAGGTGGGGGAGGAAGATGGAGAGATGAAGACAAAGGAGAGGGGGATTTGGAGGTGGGGGAGGAAGATGGAGAGATGAAGATGAAGGAGAGGGGGTTTTGGAGGAGGATGAAGATGATGGAGAACAAGGTGACACTGAAAACACGTATGGCATGGAGAGAGAAGACGCTCACATTATCCCTCCCTTCTGTCCCCTATTTGGCTCCACGTGGTGCTGTTAAGCCCCGCGAGGTTTACAGAGGTAGCACATTCCAAAGAAGAAACACGTAAGGATAGATCCTAAATCACCTTAATGCTCTGTTACACGCTGCCTGCACACAATATTCTGCTCCGACTGGTTCCGAGCCATGTGAGGTTACAAGGCGTTTGCGTTAAAGTAAGAACTGAATGATTCAACTAGAAGGAGAAACCTAGAACAAATACTAGTTGGTTGTACTCACTAGAAGCATACCCCAGTCTAGCCTATAACTTCTACATAGCTAATATGTATAAGTTGACACACCCCCTAGGCTAGACAAGGGGTGAAGCTAAGCAAGAAGCAAACAGCTCACGGTGGCACTACTAGTCCAACCACTGAGGCAGGGGTCTGGAGACCAGTCAGCAAGAGTACAAACAAGACTAAAGCAAGCCAGGGCGACACTACTAGTCCAGCCACAGGAGGTAAGGCAATAAGGCCAGTCTGACAGGTATATATAATAGAGAGTACACAATCAAGATCCTAACAGGTGAGTAGCTACAGGAACAAGACCAAGCTGTACACAGTGCCGCTGATGATCTTTAGGCGCAAGCGCCTTCGTAAAGATATCAGCTGTGTTGGCACCTGAGGCCGAGTGAACTACGCGGGCCTGGCGGCGCTGCTGTAACTCGCGCAGCAGGAAGTACCGCAGCTAGATATGCTTCGCTCTGCCCTCAAGCCGAGGCTCCTGACACAGGAGTATCATGGCCCTGTTGTCAGCGTACAGGACCAGGGCAGAGCTAGGCCGCTCACCTAAGTCAGTGAGCAAGAAGGTCAGCCAGCGGAGCTCCTGTGCCGCCATGGCACTAGCGTAGATCTCAGCCTCACAGCTGGACTGAGCCACAGACGACGAGCGAGTGGATCTCCAAGAGATAGCACCCGAACCAAGGCTAAAATAGTAGCCCTGCGACGACCTAAGCGTCTCAGAGTCGTCTGCCCAAGAAGCGTCTGTGTGCCCAGTAAGGACCACTGGCCTGCGTCCTCCTAGCACTAACCCCATGCCCGATGTACTAGCAAGATAACGCAAAACCCTCTTAGCGGCAGACCAGTGCTGAGGTCGGTGTCTGCCTGTAGCCACAAAGCGAGCCAGGATGCTGAGAGGGTATGCGAGATCAGGGCGAGTGCAAGTCATCAGGTACATGAGGCAACCCACCAGCTCTGCGTTGGGGCCACTGGGCTCTACTGGCTCTTCAGGAACAGGAGCGGAGAGCCCATGGTCAACAGGTAGAGGTGTGAGCTGTGCGGAGGAGAACTGAAGACCGAACCTCTGAAGGACCTGACGCACCAACTGTGACTGTGTCAGAGTGATGTGCGTGCTGCTCTGTCCCTAGAGATCTGCAGGCCAAGATAGCGACGCAGCTCTCCAAGGTCAGAAGAGGTGTGTCTCTTCAGCAACTCGGCCTTCACAGAGGCCAGTGCGTCCCTGTCAGCAGTAGCGAAGACCAGATTGTCTACGTAAACAAGGATGTAGAACGGAGTCTGGCCGGAACGCAAAAACATTGAGGGGTCAGCAGAGGACGGAAAGAACTGCAGGTCTGCTAACGTGGCACGCAGCGTATCGTGCCATTCGCGGGGAGCCTGACGCAGGCCGTAGACCAGGCGCCTGAAAAGCCACTGGGTCCCAGGGGGGAAGGTACCGGTGAAGCCCTGTGGTCGGCGCAGGTAGACCTGCTCGTGTAGGCTGCCGTGAAGAAAGGCAGTAGAGAAGTCGAGGGAGTGAAGCTCGTAGTCGCGTTGTGCTGCTACGTATAGCAGCGCCCGAAGAGTGGTCATCTTCGGGGTCGAGGCGATGGTCTGGAAGAAGTCAACCCCCTCGCGCTGACTGAAGCCTCTGGCCACGTAGCGCGCCTTGAACACAGGCGGCTCTCCAGGGGGGTGCTTCACCTTGAAGAGCCACCGACCATCGACTACGTTCACCCCAGGCGGGGGAACTGCGTCGACGTGCCGGTGGACCTCCAAGATGCCATCTCCTGCTCCATGGTAGCTATCCACTGAGGGTCGGGATGTCGAAGGCGACTGGGTCACCCTCAGGGACTAACTGCATGGAGCAGAGATGGGGAGCAGCCTCGGAAAGGAAAGCAAGCTCGTACTGCCTGTCCTCTAGGACGTCACTGCCAAGGGCAGGAGCACCCCCGACGAACGGAGGACGGGCAGAGTCAGAGACCAGAGCGGTAGCGTAGTCAAGGCGGCGGGTAGAGGTGAAGTCAGCGACAGCAGCGATAAGCGCGTCAAGGCGCGAGACTGGAACAGCAGGGAAGGTAACAAGAGAGGCAAGGACCCGACGGACAAGGGGACGAGCGGCACGGAGGTAGTCAGAGAACGGAGGAGGTGCAACAGCAAGCGAGGAGGGAGGAGGGACGGGAGGAGGGAAGGACGAGACGAGGGGGAACGGAGCAACATTGGGTGGGAGCGCAGGACAGGAGAGACGGGACGAGCACGGGATGGACGGCGAGACAAAACGTGGGACGGAGGTGTAAGGTCAGGGAACAGCGGAGGGGACACATGAGGGGAACGAGGAGGAAGATGGGCCGGAGACGAGTCCGGCGGCGGGAACATAGGACCGTAGACAGGAAGGTCAGCAGGCGGTGGGGGAGACACCGGCGAGCGGTCCGGGGAGGGAAGGCCAAGCAGGCGGAGAGCTGTGAGAGTACGATCCCGTTACACCACTGGTCCTTTTCCCTATTTCCTTTTCCTTCCATTTCTCCTTTTATCTCATCTCATTTGGTATCCTATTCTCCCTTTTCCATTAACCTTTGGTTTATCCTGCTATTATAATTATATCACCGACCAGGCTTGGGATGTACTGAGCGCTGTATCTAGCGTAATCCTGCTGTAATCCCTTAAAGCCAATAGCCTCGCGTGGCTATACACAGGGTGATTCTATATTCTAGAAGGGTCTATTCCCTTAGGATAAGATAAACCTGGTTACCTGATGTCCTCTGGAAGTATAAAAGCGCCTTGTACTGATCGATAGAGCAATCTTTCCTCGACACATTCGATCCTGTGACACTTGGTAATCAGAACTTTTCTCACTCGGCCGCGCTCAACAAAGCAGCAGCAGCGGGAAAACCTGCCTCGAAAAACCGCCGAGGGTGACCAATTCGACGCCGATTCTGGTAAGCACCAGCTCCGCGATTTTCGAATTACCCCCTCCGTGCGTGTTTTGAACAGGATGGCAACCTTCGACAACGCCGAGGTTACCCAGCAGCTCTTCGCGCGCATCGCAACCCTTCAGGAGGAGATGCGAGCGGATCGCGAAGCGTAGCGAAACGAGTTCGAGCGAGTAACTCGACTCGCCGGAGCACAGCACGATTCGACAACGGCGACGACGCAGCAGTCGCAGCAGTTTCTCAAGGCTCCGAAACCGCGCCCACCTGAGCCGTTCGATCCAAGCGATCGAAACTCGGACGCCCGCAGATGGATCGCCGGGATGGAGATCTACTTCGCAGCCATCGGATGGAGCTCGCCAGTCTGGGATGGTCAACGTGTACGACTCGCGGCGACACTGATGCGAGGGCCGGCACTCGAGTGGATTGGCGGCAACAGTACCTTCATCCGTGGTGAAGCCACGTGGAAGCAGTTCCGCGCCGACTTGCTGAAACGATTCGAGACGATAAATTCGAGTTTCCTTGCCCGGGAAAAAATTCATCGACACCGACAGTTCGGGAGTGTAGCGCAGTACACGCAGGAGATGGAGGAATTTTATAACCGAATTCCCGACCTGGCCGAAGGGGAAAAAGTACAGTCGTACCTCGCCGGGCTGAAGACCGAAGTCAAACGACAAGTGGCAGCATCAAACTACGCGAGCTACAGTGACGTCGTTTCGGCAGCGGAGCGCTTCGACATGGTCAACGCCGGAACACGACGGACGCATCGGCTCACCCCACGTTCTCCGACCCGATGGAAGTCGACAGGTTCGAAGGGCGGCCACGTCCGAAAAACACCAATTACACGTGTGATTTTTGCGGGGTGCCGGGTCATCGAATCTTCGACTGCAACAAAATGAAAGCCGCACGCGCAGAGTATCGGGCACGCAACAGTGGCAGAAATCTTTCGGCCAATCAGAAGACAAAAAACAGGAGTCGCCAGTGATTGCGGATCTAGCTGGCGAAAATAAAAAGATCCGGAAGCGGCCGCGGGATTCCGGGAAAATCAACTTCGACGAAGCTGATTCGACGCGAGAAGGAGGAAATGATGGGGGAAAATCTCCACCCCACAACCAGTCTTTGCCAGGGAAAATCGCCGAGGAAAAATCTGACTCCGCGAAAAAAGACTTTGCCGAGACAGGGAAACTCCTTGAAGACCCAAGAAATTATAAGGATTCGTTAAAGCTATCCTATAAAGATGCTTTAATGAAAACTTATGATTTTCGAGGGGCTAGAGCCTTGGAGAAATTTCGGGAGGGGCAGACAGCTGTGGAGATCATACCGGTACCGGACAACTTGGGGAAAAAAATATGGAGTGTGGAAAGAAGCCGACCTTTCCACGGAGTCAAAGTCCTCTCCCGACACCAGCCCACAACGACTACACGATCCCCAGGGAAGACGTCGGTGGAGCTGAAGCAGCTCAAGAGGAAGCTGGGGGTCTATAAGAAGCTGCACCAACCCCAAACTCCTCCTCCGGATGCATCCAGTTCTTCGGCATCAACGACGCGCACAGTCGTCAAGGACACTCCGGGCCCTGGAGAAGAGCCGTTCTCCAAGCAGCCTTGGCCAACTGCCAGCTCAGGAGTAGATAGCAACACAAAGGTGTGTACGGAATATTGGGATGTACCCTATGACCCAATCAATGAGACTATCTTTGGGTACTCCGAGCAACGCCTGCCCCTCGTGCTCGAGGTCATCTGCAAAGGACGACGCCTCCAAGCACTTGTGGACAGCGGAGCATCACACACCGTCTGCGACAAGGCAGTAATCGACCGACTTCGGGAAGAGTACAAGCCTTCAGGGTTCTCTGCAACGATGGTGGACGGAAGCAAGTTACCACTACACGGCGAAGCTGTGCTACACCTACAAATTGGACCAGTGCGCTGGAGACCTGCACTCCCCATCACCAACATCAAAGGGCTTGACTTGATCTTCGGGCGAGACTTCCCAAAAAGATTCAACCCCGAGATCAACTGGGTGAACCGCACCGCAAGCATCTACAACAATGGACGGAGAGTACAACTACCCAACTGGGACGATACAGGAGATATCTCAGTGGAGACACTCGCGCGATTCGAGAAGGACGTGAAGCGAACCGCCACCGGGTTCCTGACGATAGCAACAGAGGTAGAGCACGACGGAGAGAAGACCTCGGAACCTCCAGGAAAGATCAAGGAATTATTGAAGGAGTTCCAAGACATTCTTCCTGACGATCTTCCGAACGAGCTACCGCCATACCGAACGCATCAACACGAGATCGTAGAGGAACCGGGTTCGAAGCCGATCTTCCGAGCACCATATCGGCTCAGCCCTACGGAGCTGACTGACATGAAAAAACAGATCGAGTATCTCCTAGCCAAAGGACTCATCCGACCATCCACTTCACCATACGGTGCCCCAGTACTCTTCACACCGAAACCGGACGGAAGCCTGCGCATGTGCATCGACTACCGAGCTCTTAACAAGCAGACCATCAAGAATAAATATCCGATACCGCGAATCGATAACCTTCTTGACCAGCTTCGGGGAGCTACGGTATTTTCCAAATTGGATCTGCAATCCGGATACTGGCAGATACGGATGGCGGACAACTCTATCCACAAAACTGCTTTCCGAACTCGGTATGGATCGTACGAGTATTTGGTAATGCCGTTCGGACTCACCAACGCACCGGCAACATTCCAAGCCGAAATGAACCACATTCTACGACCACTTTTGGACGAGTGCGTGGTGGTGTACCTAGACGACATACTCATCTACTCGCGCGACATGAAGCAGCATGTCGAACACCTGCGACGCGTCTTCGAAATTCTTCGACGAGAATGATTCTACGTCAAACTGTCCAAGAGCGAATTCGCCCTTGAAAAGGTCCACTTCCTAGGACACATGGTGAGCGCTCAAGGAGTTCACGTCGACCCCAAGAAAATCGAAGCCGTACGTACGTGGAAGACACCCGAGAACGTGAAGGAGTTGCAGCAGTTCCTAGGCTTCGCTAATTACTACAACAGGTTCGTGCCACAGTATGCGAAACTCGCAGCACCATTCATGAATCGGCTGAAGAAAAACACGCCCTACAAATGGGAGCCAAAACACCAGGTAGCCGTGGAGCAGCTGAAAAGAGCACTGACGTCCGCACCAGTACTCATCTTGCCAGATCCCGAACGCGACTACGTCATCGAAGCTGACGCCAGCGACCATGCAGTGGGAGCACTCTTGATGCAAGACCAGGGGAATGGACTGCAACCAATCGCCTACCTCAGCAAGAAACTACGTGGGGCAGAACTAAACTACCCGATACACGACAAAGAGGCCTCTGCCATCGTCATCGCCTTCAAAGCGTGGAGATGTTATCTCGAAGGACGCACAACAAGCGTCTACACCGACCACTGCACCCTGAAATCTTTGAAGACTCAACCCAACCTTTCCAGGCGGCAAGTCCGGCGGATTGACTTCCTCGAGACATACTTCCACTACGACATCGTGTACAAGCCTGGCCACAAAAACAAAGCAGATGCTCTCAGATGACCTGCACACGTTGCCGCTCTTCAGATCGAAGGGATGAATCCACTCCTCAAGGGTTTAGTCACACATGGGTACGCCATCGACCCCGAAATACCCTTGGCAGAAAAGCGACATCTGCTACAGTGGGACAGTGACATCGCGTACCGGAAAGGATCAACGAAAATCTGGGTACCCAATTACCCTCCTTTGCGCCAGTTACTACTCGAAGAATACCACGACGTCCTATACGCCGGACACATCGGTAGCAACAAGACGCTGAACGGTATGGCAAAGCACTACTACTGGCCCCAATTGGCAGAAGATGTTCATAAATTCGTCACCTCGTGTGATAGATGTCAGCGGATGAAGAGTAGCAAACAGAAGAAGGCAGGACTGCTACAGCCTCTTCCTATCCCAGAACAACCATGGCAAGTGGTTAGCCTGGACTTCATCACCGGGTTACCACCTACCTCCAGCGGTCATGACGCCATCCTTGTCGTCATCGACAAGTTCTCCAAAATGGGACACTTCATCCCGACACACACGACAGCACGCACCGAAGAAACAGCACAACTCTTCGTTCGATACATCATCTCACAGCATGGCATTCCAACCATACTCATCTCTGACCGAGACCCCAAGTTCACCAGCAAGTTCTGCACTGGGAGGGGGCACAGCCGTGAAAGATAGAGACTGCCGGCGCACCGCTCGACTGAGCGATAGTGCGCTGGCGAGTCTCGATCTCGGTAAGGGTGTCGACAAAGGCGGTGAGGGTGAGGTCACCCGGGTGCTGGCTAAGGAAGTGATCGCGAGCACTAGCGAGGCGGTCTGGCAGGCGCATGGCGATAAAATAGATCGTCATGCAAAAAGCGGGGGGGAGCGCAGTGAGCTGGGCAGCAGTGCTGGCAGTGCGATAGCGGGTATCTAGGGCAAGCAGATGAGTGGCAAAGTTTGCGACGGTAGGGAAGGCTGCAAGGTTTGGGAACAGCATCGGGAAGAGCAAGCGTCCAGCAGAAGCAGACGCGGGTGTGGAATAGCGAGCAATAACAGCGTCTAAGTAAGCTTTGGCCGTCTCAACAGTAGCAAAACACGAGCGCTTAGACATAGAGAGGGCGTGGCTAATAGCAACCTGAGCGACTGCATCGCGGGAGTCCCAGACCGCACAGGCAAGGGCAGCAGTAGAGAAGGTCTCACGGTCATCAGAGGAGGGGTCAGCAGGGAGGGGAGTAGGTGCGGGGGGGCGGGGGAGCAAGCCATCCACATGGACAACCAAAGAGTGGCCATCCTGGCGCTGACCTGTGAGGTGGCGGCGGAGATCGGAGAGCCAGGCGGCAAAGTCAACCGTATGGCCCTCGGCGCCCAGTCGGAGCACGAAGTCAGCCATCGTGCAGGGTCAGCGGCACAGCTCCACAGCTCCGCAGGGACACTGCGACGCAGGGACACGGCGGCAGCACTCTCCAGCACGGCGGCCGCGAGGCACCCGAGCGCTTGCGAGCAGAGTAGACGAAGCTTGAGGTGGCACGGCAAGCCGAGCAGGCACGAAGAGGGGCCAGGCGGGCAGTGGGAGAGGCCAGGCAGACGCGGCCGGGCCAGGGAGGCGCGGCAGGGCCCGGCGGGCGCGGCGGGGCCAGGCAGGCGCGGCGGGGCCAGGCAGGCGCGGAGGGGCCAGGCAGGCGCGGCGGGGCCAGGCAGGCGTGGCGGGGCTAGGCAGGCGCGGCGGGGCCAGGGAGGCGCGGCAGGGCCAGGCAGGCGCGGCAGGGCCAGGCAGGGGCGGAGGGGCCAGGCAGGCGCAACGGGGCCAGGCAGGCCACGACGGGGCCAGGCGGGCGCGACGGGGCCAGGCAGGGCGCGACGGGGCCTAGCGGGCGCGACGAGGCCAGGCAGGGCGCGACGGGGCCGGAGCGGGCGCGACGGGGCGTAGGAGGCACGACGGGGCCTAGGAGGAGGGGCGCGACGGGGCTAGGAGGCGCGGCGGGGCCCAGGAGGGGCGCGACGGGGCTAGGAGGCACGACGGGGCCCAGGAGGGGCGCGTTGGGGCGAGGAGGCGCGACGGGGCTAGGAGGCGGGACGGGGCCCAGGAGGGGCGCGACGGGGCTAGGAGGCGGGACGGGGCCCAGGAGGGGCGCGACGGGGCCCAGGAGGGGCGCGACGGGGCTAGGAGGCGCGACGGGGCCCAGGAGGGGCGCGACAGGGCCAGGCGGGAGCGACGGGGCCAGGCAGGGCGCGACGGGGCCTAGCGGGCGCGACGGGGCCTAGGAGGCACGACGGGGCTCAGGAGGGGCGCGACGGGGCTAGGAGGCGCGGCGGGGCCCAGGAGGGGCGCGACGGGGCTAGGAGGGATGTGGCGGGGCCTAGCTAGGGTACGGGCGGAAGCGGTAGGTGGGGGATTCTAACCTACGCGTGATACCATGTTAAAGTAAGAACTGAATGATTCAACTAGAAGGAGAAACCTAGAACAAATACTAGTTGGTTGTACTCACTAGAAGCATACCCCAGTCTAGCCTATAACTTCCACATAGCTAATATGTATAAGTTGACAGTTTCTGCGAAGTTGCCAATTACCCTGGAGGCGTGTAGCATGAAAGCAGACGGCACGGGTGCTTGGAGGCATATGCATACAAGCCCTCTGATCACCTTCACTTTTCTATTTTCTGCTCCATGTGGTGCCCAGCCATGTGCGGTTGACAGGGACTTCAGCAAGGCAGCTATCAGGAAGGCATAAAAGCAGACCCTGCTGGGTGCATGAATGCATGTATGCATGGTACCTACGCTGACCATTCCCACGCTCCTATATTCTGCTCCAAGTGGTGCCCAGCCATGTGAGGTTGACTGGGGCTTCGGCAAAGCAGTTATCTGGAGGCACGAAAGCAGGTGCATACAAGGTATTTCGCACGGTGCCCTCTGTCCTATATCCTGCTCCAAGTGGTGCCCAGCCACGTGAGGTTAACCGGCGCCTCAGGGAAGCAGTTATCAGGAGGCATAAACGCAGACCCTGCCGGGTGCATGGAGTAGAGCAGAGCCGTTCGGGAGAAGCCAGAGTTGGGGATGACGAAGAAGTGGGAGGAGGCCAATAGCAGCCACTCCGCTATGAGCTCTTGGAAGGGAGCATCTGCATTAGAAGATGGGGACTGCCCGGTGGTGTGCGCAGCATCCATGCTGTTGGCGTGGCGGGGAGTGAAGTCGGTGGTCACCACCTGTGGTGTGGAGGAGCGTAGGACGAGAGTAGACCGGGGGAAAAGGGGAGGTGAGAAAGGAGAGGCAAGACCGCAGACTATTTTTGAGGCGCCTAAAAAAAAGGAGAGGCAAGACTGCAGACTGCACAGAGTGCATGGAGAAGCCGGAGTTGGGATGGTGAACAAGTGGGAGGAGGCTAGCAGCAGCCACTCTGGTCGTGGAGGGGTGTCTCAGCAGAAGAGGATTGCGACTGTGTGGCGTGCTGCATCGGTCATGCTGTTGGCGTGCTGTGCCGTGCCGTGCTGTGGCGTGGCGTGGCGTGTGGCGTGGCTTGGCGTGGCGTGGCGTGGCGTGGCGTGGCGTGGCGTGGCGTGGCGTGGCGTGGCGTGGCGTGGAGTGGCGTGGCGTGGCGTGGCGTGGCGTGGCGTGGCGTGGCGTGGTGTGGCGTGGTGTGGCGTGGCGTGGCGTGGCGTGGCGTGGCGTGGCGTGGCGTGGCGTGGCGTGGCGTGGTGTGGCGTGGTGTGGCGTGGCGTGGCGTGGCGTGGCGTGACGTGGAGTGGCGTGGCGTGGCGTGGCGTGACGTGGAGTGAGATCAGGACCTGCGTGGCTGGCGTGGCGGCCAGCACCTGTGGGTGAAGAAGGGAAATCGGACAGAGCAGAGAGCCGGACATTCTCGCAGTGAGCGCAGTGCAAGACCCTCATTTTTCCTACTTGCTAAACCGTCGTCTTGCACTGCGCTTACTGGGAGAATGTACAGAAATCAGCCCCCACCTGTGGGTGACGAAGGGTGAGCGACTTAGTGGGTGGCCGCTGATTCATTCAGCACCTGCTACGTGAACAGAGAGGGGAGAATGAGGAGCAATGGAGACTTTTGAGTCGACTCAAAAGTCTCCTTTTGAGTTGACTCAAAAGTCACCTACAGAGAGGGGAGAATGAGGAGCGATGGAGACTTTTGAGTCAACTCAAAAGTCACCTACAGAGAAGGGAGAATGAGGAGCGATGGGCATGGGGAAAGTGGCTGTTGGCGAGACGAGGAGTCCGTGGTCGCCACCTGTGGGTGAAGGCGGAGGTGCCGGGTGGTGGGGTGACACACTGGTGGATGGGGTTGCATGGTGGTACCAGTACCAGTGAAGGAACGCTAGGGTGGGTGGGGATGCCGGGTGGGGGTGCCACGGGGATCAGTGGGTGGGTGCTAAGTGAATGCTTTGTCTGGCACCGCTGCCTTATGAGGGTATTTCGCGTGAATGTCTCACCTTGTCTGGGTATTTCTCGCGAATGGCGTGCTTGACTTGCATGGAGTTGCAGAGCAGCAGCCACTTGATGGAGAGGGTAGAGGGCACGTACCACTCCTGCACTCGCTGCATGTGGGGGCGAGGGGCATTGGAGAGCAAGGGAGGGAAGGCGGTTGGAGTGGGGGAGCAAGAACAGGAGCGATAGAGAAATTTTATAACAGCAGGCCCAATTCATGCAGCAGCCACTTGACGGAGAGGGTAGAGGGCACGCACCACGCCTGCACTCGCTGTGTGTGTAGGGGAGGGGGAGACAGAGAGAGAGTGGGGGGAGGGAGAGTGGTCGGGTTTCAAGCCAACAGCCATCTTGACAGTGAGGGTAGAGGGGACGCACCACTCCTCTACTCGGTGTGTGTGCGGGGAGGAGGGAGACGGGGAGAGAAAGAGTGGTCAGGGGGAGAGGGTAGTGTGGAGTGGGGGCACCTGCACTCGCTATGTGTGTGAGGGAAGGGGGTAGATGGAGAGCAAGGAAGGGAGCGATGGAGAGATTGGATAAGTGGGCTACCGAAGGAAGGGAGGAGGTATGAGTCCAGAGAATAGCTAAAGTGTGCCACCTCAATCGTTCTTTCAGTTGTATTTTGAGTCGACTCAAAATACATCCAGAGAATAGCTAAAGTGTGCCTCAATCGTTCTTTCAGACATTGATAAAGGCCCGCCCTCCCCTCCCTCCTGTAAAACCCATCCCTTACCTTTGCACACTCAAGTGCTGGTTGACTCTCTTTCACCACCTCCGTCCCTCCGTCATAAGAAAGTGACAAAGGTGCACCCTCCCTCCCTTCCTCCCTCCCTCCCTCCCTCCCTTCCCTTCCCTCTCTGATTCCGCCTCCCCTCGCCTTAGCGCACTCTAGAGAGTGGAGTTTACTTGCTCCAGCACCTCCCTCACTCACTCCTCAGAAAGTGATAAAGGCGGCGCAGCCTCCCCTCAATCCTACCACCAGTGCCCCTCCTGCCTTGGCAAACCCCTTCCTGCATGAGGAGTCTATTTTTGAGGTGCCTAAGAATAGGAAACCACCTTCCTTACCTTTGCACACTGAGATGTTGATTTAACCGATTCCTTCCACCACATCACTCACTCTCTCACTCTCTCACTCACTCCTAATCCCCTCTCTCACCTTGGCACACTCGAGTGTGGGTTTCACTTCCTCCACCATCTCCCTCACTCGCTCCTCAGAGAGTGATAAAGGCATGCCCTCCCCTCCGCCCCCCACACTGCCCTGTCCTCGAACCGGATGTGCAGGCCAATCACAAACCGTCCGATCGCCCCTCAGCTGCTGATCAAACGGCCGGATGAGTTGCCACACCTCGGGCTTTGGTCTGGAGGCTAGGAGGCGCGGAGGGAGTAGATAAGACGGGAGGAGGGAGTTGGGAAGAAGGGGGGGGTTGGGGGGGAGAGAAGGGATACTGGGGGTGTGCATGGGTCGAAAGAGCAGAGGAACGCAGAAGAGGAAGAACAAACGAGGAGGAAGGAAGAGGAGGGATGCCAAGGAGAGCACCTGAGCTGAGAAGGAAGCATTGGAAGCTGCCAGTAGCCAGCTGCAGCCTGATTCCCTGCTGCCCATCATGCCCACCTGACAGACAACCTGAAAATGCACCTGAGAAAGCACCTGAGCAGGAAGCGCAGGAAGCAGCCATTAGCCAGTGGCAGTCTGAGTCCCAATGCTCTCAGCCTTAAAGCTCACTCCCTGCCCCTCATTCCCCAACCCACCTGACAGAACACCTGATAATGCACCTGAGAAAGCACCTGAGCAGGAAGCGCAGGAAGCAGCCGGTAGCCAGTGGCAACCTGAGTCCCAATGCTCTCAGCCTTAAAGCCCACTCCCTGCTGCCCCTCATCCCCGACTCCCCCTCTCCTGCTCGTCCTGCTCCTTCCCCAACCCCACCTTTCCCTGTCCCTCCCTCCCCCTCCCTATCCGCGTTATAAGCCTCCAGGAAGAGCCTAGTGAGCACGCCCCGGTTCCAGCGCAGCAGAATGTTAGCGGCGGGGGCAAGGCGGGCAAAGAGGGGCTGAAGGTCCACGTCGCGGTTCTTTAGGTTGAGACGAAGGACCTCCCCTGCCTGGACTGCTGCATCTGGCGGCCCCGGTTGTGCCTCACTCCCAATGCTGGTGGTGCTGCCAGCACCAGCATCAACAGGCGGAACATACGTGTACTTCCTGGAAGGTTCCATGGGAACGTCGTCAGTCAACCGCCAGTCCACGTGGGCGGGCTCAAAGGCTTGGGGCAGGCACGGGTGGTTGAGGATCAAGGCACGTCCGTCCAAAAGTGCTACAGTGAACGCGGCAGCTAGGCCAATCAGAGCGTCGCCCAGCCCCCCACAGCCGAAGAGAACCTCATAGGTGAGAAAGCGGAGAGGGGGAGGGGAGGAGGAGGAGAGTGGGGGTGAAGAGAGGGGAGAAGTAGAAGGAGGAGCAGCAGCAGCTGTAGCAGCAGCTGTAGCAGCAGTGGCAGCAGTAACAGTGGCTGTAGCAGGGACTTCTCCACTTGCTTGGGCTTGGGCCTGTGCTTGCCTTGACCTGCTCTCCTCCCTCATCCCATTGTGCAGTGTCACATACTCCTTCCACCAGTTGCCGCAAAGGGAATCGGGAAACCCAAAGTGCAGACGGGAGGAAGGGAGGATGGAGCCCTGCGTAAGAGAGAGGGTATGGGAAAGAATTAGGATTAGGGAATAGGGTGCATGGGATGGGTGCATGCTGGCGTTCCGCCTCACATATCCTTCCACCAGCCGCCACGGAGATGCTCCGGGGAAGGCGCAGTGCAAACGAGAGGAGGGCGGGACGGAGCCCTGGTAGAGCGAGGGGCCACGCGGGGGAGGGCGAGACGGCAGGCGCGCTAAGATGGGGCAATTCACCCTCGATGGCTGTGGGAGACGGTGTTGGAAGCAGGGACAGAGAGAAAGGAACGAATTCTAGGGAAGGGAAAGGGTAATGACAGAGGGGAAAGGGACCGGAAAACACGCGAGAATAACAAACGGGAGAACGGATGATGGATCCAGAACGCTCACCAGCGAATCGCAGTTTGCCACGTCCTCGCCCTGAGATGAGTTCGGTCGCAGCAGCAGAAGCAACGCGAGCAGGGAAAGCCACTGCGCGCAGCGCGAGTTGATGATGCAGCGAGGGCTTGGTCGGGGGATCCTTGCACGAGGCGCCTCGAAGATGGAGCGATCATGCATCGAGGCGCCTCTTGACGCGGCTAGCCGCCGCGATGGCCGCCGTGAATCTCGCCGCGATCTGCGGAGGAGCTGCTGGTGAACGGCAGGCGCCGCTGGGCCAGTCATACGCGTTACAGTATGAATATCCATCATGGAGTGTGGATCATGATGCCATTATGTCATACGGCATCCCGACATTATGGGAGAATATGCGGACACTCTCGAAAGAGTTATCAGCACTGCACGAATCATCACTAGGACTATGTGTGAAACGAAGTGGACACACCGTTTGTCACTCACGCTGTATCGGGGTGATTTCTAGTAAATATCCATATGATGAGGTAATTTTAGGGTTTAGCGCATTCGACGAGCCTTGTCCCATTCGAGCGGATAACGGGGTCAGCACAAGGGGATGATCGCGAAACTCTGCTGTCTTCGCGAAACTCATCTCGTGTGTGTAGCGTTCGGCTTCGTTGATGTCGTCAATCATCCCTTGTTCTCCCGTGGTAACACCACGACGAATATCCGCTAATCGCAAATCCAAGACCCCCGTCGCGAAAGTTTTTCGCGCATCGCAAAAGCCTTTTACGCATCCTTTCGTCTCAGCTCTGCACCCCTGGCTCCAGGTGCTAATCGGGTAACGGAAGGGTCTCTGATTGACCGTCGGGCTACAAGCTACCTCGATGTAGTCAGTTGACCTTGCAGAATCATATAGTGTCGTGGTAGTCGCGGAATTGGTTATTTCTTTTGCGAGCATAAACTTTTGCGATAGATTTCCCACTCAGCGAGTCCTGCTCACCAGGTCCCGCGCTCCTCGCCGAATTCTGCGCGATCCCGCCGACGGCAGAAGCTTTCGCCTCGCCTCATGTCACCACGACGCCAAACTGAAACGTTTTCTGCGCCATGCCTCCTAGTTTTCTGAGACGTCTTTAGAATCCTAGCTTCTTCCGCGGTCATCCCGCTGACGGGAGATCTCACCTCGCCTCCCGCCTTTCTTCCTGCGCTATCCACAAGGAGCGGGTCTCGCGTCGCCTCATGCCGCCATGGCGGCCGTCCTTTGCGGCGCTCGTGCGGCCCTCTGTTCACCTGCTGCTGCTGCTCGTCTGCCTCTCGCAGGTGGGGCGGGAGAGGGGCAATCGCAGGGAGGATGTAACATCTCGTCCCCTCGACCACTAGGAAAAACGAGTGTTGCTCTGTGGCGCAGCGGATGCGCTACAGAGGATTAGCGAGAGAGGTGTCAGGTGGGTGTTGTCACCAGCGAGGGATACCGACCAACCTGAGACGGCACGGTGCAGGAAACTGTCAGATTCTGCTGCTAGTATCACCTGCAGGAAACTGCGATTCTGCTCCTCATCTGCATCTCGCAGGCGGGACGAGAGAGAGGCTATCGCGGGTCGGTCGAGAGAGCTGCAGGGTGGGTGCGTCTCACCAGGGTAGGACGAAAGAAGCAATCGCAGGTGGGACGAGAGAGGAGCACTCGCGTGTCGGTGGATGCGTTTCACCAGAGTGGGTTACCAGCCACCCGGGGTGCAGTGGACTATGGGATTGTGTATCAACGGCCATGATCACAACTTGTGATTCACAAGCAGTCAATCCCTTTATCACTCCGCCCCACACACACACCCCCTCCCCCCTCCCCCCTTCCCTTTCTTTCTCCCTCTCCTATCAGGCCTATTTCCTCTGGTGGGGAGTCAATGTCGGCTCCCACGAGCACATCACCCACCCGGGTGCAGCTGACTGGCAAGTGTAGTCATTCCTTCCCCCCTTCCCCCCTTCCCCCCCCCTTGTCCCCCCTCTCCCCCTCCGCCCCTTCATTCGCCCGCTCCTCGCAGGCGTACTTCCTCTGGTCGGGGATCAGCTTCGGCTCCTACACAAGTGCCGCCCATCCTCGTGCAGGCGACTGCGACATGCAATGGCAAGGGCTGTCATCGCAACAGGTGTCGCTGCGTGATTCGCCGGGGAGAGCATTAGGCGTGGACGAATCAGTGATGCCGGCAGGTGAGCTTCAGGCGTCGAAGCCGGCAAGGTAAGGCTCACACACAATAGTAGTAGATGAGTTTTGTTTCGGTGTGCATCGGAGGTGGTTGGGGGGAGTTTGGGGAAGATATATGGGCAGATGCGTTCTATGGGGAGATCTAGAAGCAGAGCTGCATTTGAGTTGATCGTTTATGACTAAAGAAGTTGCAAAGAGTCGGTTTTCTCATTGCTAGGTTCTGCTTGGACCGATCGGCTATGGCATCCATCATGTGCTTGTGCCCATTTTTGGTGGTCTTCATGCGTGTATGGCCCCGAACCGTGCCTTGTTTTTGTCGATGTTTTGTTTTCTGCCCGAACAGTGCAGCAGGTGAAGCGGGCAGCACAGGGGTTCGCACAGAATCTCTCTCAGCGAATGGTGCAGCCGGGCTGATTCGTTTGGAGCGTGTCCTTAAAACGAGGATAGCTACAGTGGATGCCATGCTGAAGAGCTTACAGCAAGAGAAGGCTGAAATGCGACAGGGGAGGGAAGCAGTGGAGGAAAGGGGGAAGGAAGACAGGGCGCAGGGGAAAGGCGAGCGGGGCGGAGAGGAGGAAGAGGATGATGATTTGCTGTCGTGGGTTGATGCTGCTGCTGGTGGCGGCAGTGGCAGTGGAGGAGGGGATGGGAAGGAATTGGTGGTGGAGGGAGATGAGGCGAAACTTGATGATGAGGAGAAGGCGAATGAGAGGGAAAAGGTGAGGAAATGGGCGGAGAAGAAAGGTTCCTACAGGGAGTGTGTGGCAGGAGGTTCCTTGTTCACAAGGAAGAAAGGGGGAAGGGTTGACAGCGTGGCAGAGAGACATTGGAAACAGGTGGTGGCGGTGGAGGGAGATGAGGGTGCGTCCACGAGAGGAGGGGGGGAGGAGGAGGAATGACTCTTGTGTTTTGAGACCTTGAAGCGTTATTATAACTCTCCTTAGGGGATGATTTTCTTATTGCCCGCAACCACCGGCCACGTTTTTTTTTTGTTTTTTGTTTTTGTTTTTGTTTTTTTCCACTCTTTCCCCTTCATTCTGAATTTCCGCTATGAACTGAGCGCTCACAAATCTCCCTTGCTTTGCTCCGTCTGTTGCTTGCGTTGATGCGTTCCTTCACTCCCCTCTCACTTCTCTCTCAGCATATCTCGCTGTACCCCTCCCCACCCACTCAGGTAGCCAACTCCACTCTTCTCTCTTCCCCGCCCACCTCCCTCCCTCCCCACCTCTCCCTCCTCCTCTCCCACCTCACTCCCTCCCACCTGCCCCCAGTCTGCCGCACCAACCCCATAACCCACTCCCTCTCCCCCATCACCTCCTCTCTCTTCCCCCCTCCCCCTCGCCTTATCCCCTGGACCCCGCACCCCCACCGCTACCTTCTTGCAACCTGCTCCTATGGCCGCACGTCCAACCACCTGCTGTGCATAAGAAGGTTGGTACCCTGCTCTCCCTCCGCCTTTTCTGTACGAGAAGGTACCTTGCTCTCGCTTCCCCCTCCCCCTGGCACCATCCCCTAGAAGCCCCTCACCCGCACCGCTATTGGCCTGCAATTTGCACCTTTGGCCGCACCTCCAACCACCTGCCCTGCATTTGGCGGTAAGTACCTTCAAACATGCTCAACGGAGGAGGGTAAATTGTAATTGCATACCTTTCTGCACCTATGGCCTCGGCATTAACCGCCTGCTCTGCTTTAAAAGTTGGGTAAGACTGAAGCGTTCACTCTCTTGCAACCTTCCCCTTCGCCCTCCCCATGTATGGACCTTGCCTTTGCTGCCCTCCTCACGGCTCCCTGCTGTTTCCCAGGCGCCTTCTAACAATCTGAAGCACTCTTTTCTCTTGCAATGCTCCCTTTGCCTCCCCAGGTACTTCGCCTTTGCTGCTCTGCTCAATTGCTCCCCGCTGCAGCCAGTAGTGCTGCCTGCTGCTGCTGCTGCTGCTGCTGCTGGCAGTGCTTCTGCTGCTGCTGTTGCTGCTGGCAGTGCTTCTGCTACTGCTGCTGCTGGTAGCAGTGAATCTGCTGCTTGGCGCTCACACTCTTGCATGAGAGGTGGATGAGGGAGGGGCGTGGCTCACACTCACGGTCTTATCTAACAACCAACCACCTCCCCTGCCTCTCCAGGTACCTTGCCTTCGCTGCCCTGCTCAACCGCTCCCTGCTGCTGCCAGTAGTGCCGCGTGCTGCTGCTGCCTCTGGTGCTGCTTGGCACAAGGGGTCCTCCTGGTTCAAAGGTGATCCGAGGCAGGGGAGCAGGGTGGCCTTAGGCTCTGCCGCTGCTGGCTCCTCCTCCTCCGTCTCCTCTTCCTCCTCCTCGCGCAATTCTTTTCTCTTCAGCACCACTCCCCACACCACTCCCCACACCCTCCCCACACCTCTGTGAGCGGCCTCCCTCGTTCCCCTTCCAGCGCCACTCGCAGGCGGCTCATGGCCAGATCTCTCAGGCGCCACAAAAGTACCATCTCCAATTCCTCTGTGAGCGGGCTTCCTCGTTTTAGTTTCCCGCGTCACTCGGCAGGTGGCCCATGGGAGGCCAGGGAGGGGCGAGAAGACTGCTTCCTGATGCAGGGGGTGGGAGTTGGAGGAGACTAGGAGCAGCGTCACGAGCTGCATTAGGTGTACGTGAGGGGAGAGACCAAGGGGTAGACGTGGACGTGAGAGGGGCGAGGGGGCTTGCTTCCTGATGCAGGGGCCAGTGGGAGTCGGAAGATATCAAGAGCAGCAGGGGGATCATCAGCAGCATCATCATCATCAGCATCATCATCAGCATCATCATCAGCAGCATCATCAGCAGCAGCATCATCAGCAGCATCATCAGCAGCATCAGCAGCATCATCATCAGCATCATCATCAGCAGCATCATCAGCATCATCATCAGCAGCATCATCAGCATCATCATCAGCATCATCATCAGCATCATCATCAGCATCATCATCAGCATCATCATCAGCAGCATCATCATCATCAGCATCATCATCAGCATCATCATCAGCAGCATCATCATCAGCAGCATCATCATCATCAGCATCATCATCAGCATCATCATCAGCAGCATCATCAGCAGCATCATCATCAGCATTAGGTGTACATGAGTGGAGGGACCTAGGAATAGCCGTGGACGTGGGAGGGGCGAGGGGACTGCTTTCTGGGGCAGGGGCCAGTGGGATTCGGAGGAGACTAGCAGCAGCAGGCGTGTCAGCAGCAGCAGCAGCAGGGGCACCCGAGTGGATGGACCTAGGGGTAGCTCTAGACGTGGCAGCCCTGCAGCAGTGCGTGGGGCAAGGGAGGGTGGTGACTGTGGACGAGTATCTCAGAGGGAAGGGCAGTGGGAGAGGGGGAGAGGAGGGGTGGCTGGCAAGATTGGGGGGATGGGGAGCAGGAGTGGGGGGTGGTGGAAGCAGAAGGGGAGGATGAGGGGAAGGGTGGGGAGGGTGGAGGTGCGGATGTGGTGGTGGTGGCATGGCGGCGAATCCGTGCTCGCCACGTGTCAGCGGTTCATTCGTGTGGCTCCATGGGCGAAACTGTTACCGCATGATAGTACGGATGGTGCCACACATGGGGATTCTACAGGCGGTGACACTGATGCTGGTGCTAATAATAGTGATACCAACGATGGTGCTACTAACGATGGTGCTACTAACGATGGTCGTAGTAACGGTGACAGTGTTGATAGTGGGATCAGCAGCAACGACCCCGCTCATCTCGCCCGCATGTGCGCATCGCCCCCCATCCCTGCCACCAACGCCTCCCTCCGCCAGTTCCTTGCCTTCTTTGCCCGCCGCACAGAGCCGGTCATAGGGCTGGGAGACGTGTTCGAGGTGAGGGGAGGGTGGATGAAAGGGAGATGGAGGAGAGTGTTTCACAGGGACCTTCAGGGAAGCTGTTGGAGAGGAAGAAGGAAGCCGCTTCAGCACAGAGAAACTGCTGGAAGGCCATGCTAGCTCCGATGAATCGCCTGGTCTGTACAACGGTGTCAACCGTGCTCTCCCCTTAGTGAGAGGCGCTCACGCAAACTCGCGAGCAGAGAAGATGCTTCAAGCCCATGCTAGTTCTGACGGTCTACCCGGTCTCTACGATGGCCTTAACGGTGCCGTCCCCGTTCTGCCGCCCTGCCGCCTCGCCATGCGCCCGCACCCCGCTGTCCTCTCCGCCGCCCATGCCTTCGCGCGGCATGTGCTCGGCACACGCTTTGCCGCCCTGCACCTGAGGCGGACGGATTTCGAATCTCACTGTTCGAGACCGAACTTCCGCTGCTGGCTGCCGCTCTCCCAGATAGCCAGATGCTTGGCTGATCGGATCAATGCGCTCAATGCTGCTGCTTGCTGCTGCTGCTGCAGGAAAGGAGGGGGTCGAGAGGAGAGCAGCTGGGGGTGGTGCAGATGGCGGTGCTGGCAGTGGAAGTGGTGGCAGTGGGAGCTGGCTGCAGCAGCATCAAGTGCGGACGCTGTTCATTGCCACAGACACCTCAGACCGGGTGAGAGGTGCACACAGCAGGGCTCAGGTGGTTGAGAGCAACAGCTGTCCAGGTGGGTGAGAGCAAGAGCCGTCCAGGTGGGTGAGAGCAAGAGCCGTCCAGGTGGGTGAGAGCAAGAGCCGTCCAGGTGGGTGAGAGCAAGAGCTGTCCAGGTGGGTGAGAGCAAGAGCTGTCCAGGTGGGTGAGAGCAAGAGCAGTAAGAGTGGGAGGAGGCAGCATCAAGTGCAACT